TCTGTGGAACTCTTCTGTGGGGGGGCTGTAGCTCAGGTGGCAGAGCAGGTCAGCCCCTAATCAGAAGGTCGGTGGTTTGATCCCAGGCTGCCTCCTGGCTGCATGCCAAATATCCTTGGGCAAGATACTAACCCCATGTTTGCCTACTGGTGGTGGTCAGAGGGCCCGGTGGTGGTCAGAGGGCCCGGTGGCGCCAGTGGCGCCTCTGTCAGTGCGCCCCAGGGTGGCTGTGGCTACAATGTAGCTTGCCATCACCAGTGTGTGTGAATGGGTGGATGACTAAAGCGCTTTGGGGTCCTTAGGGACTAGAAAAGCGCTATACAAATACAGGCCATTTACCATCTTTACTACTCTCACCGCTCAAATCCTCCATGTGTCCAACTGTTCCATCCTCAAACTCTAAACATTGTCTCCTTTTCCTTCATCCCTTTTCTTTAACTTCTGAAGTCTCTTCCTCCCACTAAGAGACATCTCCAATGAGTCATCTGTCTGGTAAACAACAAAAAAGAAAAGAAAAAGAAAAAAAAACGGGAGCAACTTTTTCATGTCCCTAGACAAGACTTTTCATGTCTTTCTTCTTCTTGTGTTTCAAAGTAAGGAAACTGTTGCAGTTACTCCACACTGACGGTCGTTCTGTTTTCCCACATGACTGCTGAAAAACTGCCTCATCCATCACTTTAAATACCCTCAGATCCACAACCCACAAGAGATTGCAAATCTTTATATATATAGCCATATATATGTGTGTGTGTGTGTGTGTGTGTGTGTGTGTGTGTGTAAACATTTCCTATATGTTTTGCCTCCATGATCACACAATACAGAAATGATGCTATCATTATTATGTTAATTTTTTTGTGCCTCACACAATTGTTACAGGCACTGGCCGGTGAAACAATAACATTTCTATTTTCATCAGAACTTGAAATATGCCCTGCATGTACACTGGGCTTTTAGCAATTTGCAGACTTAATCAGTTATATAACTGCTAAAAACTCACCACAATGCAGGCAGCTGAATCAGTTTTCCATAGAGTGCTGTACTAAACGAAGGGATGATGGGGATGAGAGGTAGAAAAGATCCTTTATCCTGGCATGTCAACCCTGCCTGGAACCCAAACACCTGCAAAGACATAAAGGCAAAGAAATGAAGGGAGAAGACAGAGGGGAACTAACACGCTGAAAAAACACTGAGGAATTCACAAATACATTGGGAGAAAAAAAGAAGATGATCATGTGATAGGATCACACCAGCACACACCAGACCCATAACATGCAGACCAAACCCACAGTCAACCTTGGCCTTCATTTTGACCTTAAATATTTGTGACATTATTTCATCGACAAGTCTCCATAGACGGACCTATAAAAATGTGTCAAGGTACTCAAAAGCACATGTGTGGTAGTCCTTGTTACAGTAGGCTTCTCCATAAAATTTGCACTGATTAAATCTATATTCAGTCAGCCAAATAGCCCACATTTTTCCAGCATGGAGAAAGTTTTGGTTTGTCTTTTGTCCCCTAATTATAAGATTTAAATAAGATGCTGCATGATTTCATAATTATTAAATTATGGAAAAAGTACTTCTAAAGTAGGTGGCAGAGGGTGTCTCTAGGAGGAGGTGATGACAGTTTTACCAGTTTTACCAGTACCAGATATACGATCTTGGCTGGAATTTTTTTTTTATGTCCAGTTTGGTGGACTTATGGCCCCCAATACAATACAGACACTCTTTAATGAGAACACATTTAATATACAGTATTTAGCATATTCAACACCCCAACTTTCATTTCCTTTGACCCTTACTACACAATTTTGAGACAATCTTGGACATTGCAGCACTATCCCGCTGAACATAATCTGTCCATAATCTATATAGAGAACTGTATACCAGCCACAGTACTCCTCTCACAACAACAGTTGGTTTTACAAAATAAAAATTATAAAAAGGTTTACTCTCTTGAATTTGCATTAAACCCAATTTAACTTTTTAGCCTGTACTTGACCTGTCACAGTTAATGGGGATAGGGTTAATAATGAGTCTTTATCACTTTTTATCTGGCTACAGTAACAAATATATGAATGTACAAAGTAATGTTTTATAAAAAAAAGATAAAAAATGATAAAGACAGCAACAGTACTTAGAAAAATAAACCACTGCCGAACTCTGCTGTTTGTCATAGCAGGTGTGGGTCTCACAATCTCATTATCTAAGCTCCTGGAAGCCACATATAATATACTCCCAGCCCAGTGTTTACATACTGTTGATAGCACATGGTGGTAAAGTCCTGTTTAATATTGGAGGTAAGAGATGATGGCTGGGCCTAGCTGTCCAGCATCCAGCTGCTGTAAAGGTGTACTAGATCATTTTTATGTGTAGATCAACAAGCCAGCAGACAAAATGATGGAAAACAATAATTTATTTATAATAGGACAAATGGCCTATGGCTCTAATATATCAATTACTAGATAATGATGTAGACATAAAAAAAAGTCACATTTAAATTCAATTGCCCACACAAAACACTCAGCTTTCTATTGGAAACTAGATTTCTGATCGCTATTCAGCAGTTTCAGTCACCATTCAAATAAACCAAACTTTAACATGACCATTAACTTCTGTGGTCTCTTGTTGAGCAAACAGACTGACTTAAAGCTTTTGCCTGCAATCATGTAAAAGTAGGACAATGGCTAACACTACCCTCAACACAGATACCTAAGCTCTGACAGCCAGCGTCAATAAAACACAGATTTAGATAAGCCTTAGTTTATACCCTTTTCAAATCACTTCCTGAATTGGGTGAATTGTAGCTAGAATGACCTCCACCCTGTCATGATCCCAGTGCAAAAACCCAGATGGAGACTGAGAACCTTAATGGTTACAGACAACGATTGGCTGATTGGTCACAATGATCCTTGGCCACTGACCAGATGACTGTTAACCCTGCAGTGACCCTGTGATAAGGACTACCAGCATGACGTACAGTAAACATCCTGCCTTAAAAACACACTGAAGCAATACCAGGCCAGAATGAAAAGATGACAAATTACACCCAATCTATTATCCAAACTCCCTAAAAAGTTGATTGGATTCTTTAGCAAAATCCTTTTCTTTACTTTCTTTTGGAAATGTGTACTCAATGACAGACTAAGGACTTCAGGTAAACTAAAAATCAGAGGTTACAACCTGAAAACAAACCTAAAACAAAGTGTTTACATTTATTTTACTTTAGCGATAGATTACTGGACATGGATAACTCTAGTATACAGGTTAAGAAGTCACACTTAGGTAGAAAACTACTATTTTCTGGAATGTTATATGCAGTTGTTTATTGAAGCTCATCTTATGATGCTAGGCAACATGATAAAAGCTTGGCTGACAAATAATCTTGTCCCGTGGTTTAAAACGATTAAGAAAATAAAGCTTTTGTCTTTTGGTCCCAACTTCAAATTATAGTACTACCAACTTTAAATTTCAGTGACAGTGAATGTTATATTTTCATCTTCAAACTAGCAGCTAAAACTGTAAAACCTTTATAGTAACAGGGGAATGTCACAGCTGCTTAATACAAGTCTCTTGCACCCTATTAGTTGGCAGATGAAGCAGACCAGAAATGTACTGGTGCTCATCAGGAAACTGAATGCTGAGATTTTTATGACCAGGTGAAAAGGGTCATCAAGGTCATTAAAGAGGTCGGCATGATCATTTCAAAGGGAAGATAAGATCACAACTGTGACTGACCAATTAGCATGCTATTGTGCACAAAAAACATACTAGATGCATCGTTTTGGTCAAACTGAAACATAATAAACAGAAAGACAGATGTATAATAAAATAAAATGAAAATACCAACAGGATCAAACCAAAGGAGTCCTGGCACAGTACTGGTTTTCATATTTATATCTGAGGCTTAAAATCATGAGACAAACAAGAGAACAAGTGTAAGGTGCAATTTAAAACTGTTTTATTCAACTATAGTTTGTTTTTGTTTGTTTGGGTTTTTTTTTTGGGGGGGGGGGGGGTTTGATAGCAACTGACATTTGCTCAGTTTTCATATATTGTTAATGAGCCTGATTGCCTTTAACTTAGCATCACCTGTGTCCTTAATGGCAGCAAGAATGATCTTAATCTGAATCAAATTCAATTTTAATTCAATTTTGCTTATACAGCACCAAATCACAACAATCAGATGACCTCCTGTGTTGAAACACTTGGTGACAGTGGGAAAGAAAAACACCCTTTTAACAGGAAGAAAATTCCAGAACCAGGCTCAGGGAGGGGCACCCATGTGCCACTACTGGTTTGGGAGTGAGGAGAGAGAATACTATAGAGTGCAGAATATTCTCATACTTGCCTTAAGGTAGAGGTGTGCATAGCAGTGATGTAGCAGGTTGTCAGAAGGCTGGCTGAGACTGCTGACAGTGGTTACCAGCTCTGGGGCATACATTGGCACAGAGTGTTCAAAGTTCACCCTTTCCACTTGGAACTGTACTGAAGGTAGTGGGCGCACTGGCTGGAATTCTGCCACAGAGACCAGACATGGTGCCACCTGGACAGTTGAAAATATAGAAAGGTTTAACAATTATTGTCAGTGACAACAAACATGACACATATTGATCATACTGTTGTCCAAGTCAAAACCAACCAAACAACACCGGAGCAAAAATACTTCTACTTTGCATTAATTGCAATACTACAGTTTTCTTTTCAGAACAGTAACATCAGCTTTACGGTTAACAACTCCTGTTCATCTCCTTCCACCTTTTCTTACTCCTATAAATTTAAAACTTGGATTCTCAGTAAGGAGACTTGTCATCAGCCTAGGATGATGCAGCGTCTGTCCCTGTGTGTTTTGTCTTAAAGTGGTGCAGCTGCAGGTGGACTGGCCCAGTCCTCTACCAGCTCAGAAGCGATCAGAGTTCACAGAGCTTTTCCTTGCTTTGGAGAAAACGACAGTCAAAAGCCACCTGCCCTTATTCTTAGATTTTGTCCCCAAGCTAGCCATGCCATTATCAAAGCAATGTCTACTTATGGCTCTGTACCCAGCTATAGTATGCGGAGCAGGCTAGGTTAGTCAATCCTACGTACCTATATTTACCACATTCTGCATGTGCATTTATGTGACCAGGATCATATTTGATTGTTATATGTGTTCGAGCAAGTGAACTGACTGAAAGGGAATTGTTGTGTCTATAACTTCTGTTCTCTCAAGGAGAGGAACGAGGTATGACAGCAGGTTGCCCTGTCATGCAGCTGGACAAGGTGAATTGAGGGCTATCGAACTAAGGAATGACTGTGAGGAGTGTACATGATCAGGTGGGGCTGTGCATATGCCATCGTTGGTCTTCTGACTTGATCTGGTGTGGTGTGAATTGAATTCACTGTTAGCACTACCTTGTGTCCCATGATGACAGGCATTAGTGTATGTAGGAGGTTGAACTCTGCCATTGAAACAGTGACTGAGACTTGGAACAGAGTGAGACAAGTGAGTCGAGTTGGGATGAATTCCTCCAAATGTGAGATCTCTTCTGGAGTAGCTGGACCACTGTTCTCTTCAGTCATTTCTGAAATGATAATGCCACGATAACAAGAAACATGTTAGCTTAAAAAAAAACTTAACATAATGTAGAGATAACATTCTAAATATTAATACTAAAACAGCTGTTTTTCTAACCATATGAATGCAACCTGTAGTGCATTACATGAAATAATAGTTAGGGAGTGGGATAAGCCAAAGATATTTGGATTCGAGACCCAAAACTGTTTTACAGTGGAAAGGGTTAGCTGTAAAGCACACCAATTTCTTTGAGTGGGTGCCGTTCCTCTCCAGCCACTGTGCTCCTCTCATAGCATTAAAACAACGAAATGGTCTTTTCCAACAAAAACCACCAACTCAAACACTAAATAAAAGCGACGTGGACTATAAAAGTGCTGGCATCTACATGTGCTATTCATTACAATGGCTGTTTCCCAGTAGCATTCTTTTTGAACTATTTCATAAAACCACTCATTCTGTCAATAACCAAAGAAATACCCAAAGAGCCAAGAAAAAAAGCGAAATAAGTCAACGTGAACCAGAGGCTACTAAGATCCATACTCACAGTAAGGAGTGACCAGCACAGTGATCCACTACACCAGGGTCAAAGGCAGACCAAACCTGAACCCTATGGCCTTGGGTCTGGTCCCACGTATGGGTCAGTGTCAGCTCTGTGGAGGTTCTGTTGGGCTAAATTTCCAACTACAAGGTGGGCTCGGAATTTGATCTCAAAGCTGCTTTGATCTTTGTCCTAAAGCTACACCATTCAGCTTGATCTAGTACTGCTATGTCTAATCAATTCATATGCCAGGGCTCAAGTCAATACCCACAGTGAACATTTAATTTACAACACAGATGGAACTCCCATGATACACAGAAACATGACTATGGACACTAAAAATAATGGAAAAAGAAAACATAACATAACATAACATAAGTATATTGCTGTTTAGAAATATCCTGTTCTATCTCTAGTTCTCAAAGTCCTGTTACTTTTATTGTTCGTTTATTGTTTTTAGACCATGTAAAGAACTTTTATCCAAATGAGCAAACTAAATGCAGTTTATCTTCTCAACAGGGCAAAATGAAGCCAATAAAGCATCCATTTATAGCTAGTTTGGGAAGGAAAGCTATTTTTTTTTAGTTCTTGGCAATGAATATAAAAAGGAGCACAGACACAAAGGACAGGATAAGTTGCTATAGATGCAAACTTTCTCCAATCAATAATACATACTAGATCTAATGTTTCTGACTAAGAAACAGAGAGAAAGAGCTTTTATTTAAGGTACCAAACTGTTTAAAGTGTTAGGTTCATCACAGCTAAATCATAATTTATCGTATCAAAATGATGAATGGTTGCTATAAATCCTTCTGTAATAGCAACCTTGACTTCCTCTTATCTACTCTCAATCCACCCCCCAGAGGCTCCAACTATACTGACCCTTGAGAGTACAAACACTTATAGAAACAGGAAGGAACACGCTGACCTACTCCGCTTCAGACAAAAACTGCTACAGTAATTACACCATCGTCTATTATCTATCACAGATGCTGAAACAACCGAAACCTACGGATGTTATCATTTCACAAAAATCTTTTGCAAAAGAGTTATTGCTACAGATATTACATACAGACACACATTCCATGTTCTTTCACAACATCCCAGAGATGAGCTCATCAATAGCTGTGCAGGGATGATCACTAACAAAAGGTGTTTGGCTTAACCTCCCTTACGTGGTTCAAAAGGTCACTACTTTCATGTACAGCTGTGTGTTGAAGAATGGGTTGTGCAAGGAAATAACAATGCGATGAGAATATTATAAAGTGAAAACTGTTACAGTTTCTGGTCACTGAAAAGTATGACAAGAGATGTGAGTAAAATACCAGAGAAGGTATATTTTTTAATTATATATTTGTATAATTTTGATCTCTGACCTCGCTGCGCTTTGCAGTAGGGTTCATACTCGTGGTCCATGGCACAGGTGACCATCTTGAGAATGCGATGGATGGCGCTGCTATGCAACCTGATGTCTAAAGGTCCTACCGCCAGCCTCTTGATGGATGTCTCTTGAACTGCAGGCACTACCTCTTCCATGCTCATCCCAGAGAAATCCTGAGAGCCTACAAGTGGAAATAGACATATATACATAACCTGATTAAAATATATAATGTATGTACTTATAAACTTAAGGACTCTTGTCTCAGTCAACAAAATTAAAACATATTTTCAGCTTTCATGCATATAAGGTTTTTTTGTCTGTTTGTTTTACATTAATATTTAGCCAGAAACATTTTTCCCATATCTCATTTCTTAATGAAGTATAAATATAGAATACTGTCATCTGTTGGGCATAAACCCAAAAAAGATAGATGTAGTGTAATGCAGCAGCAGGAGGCAGCTCACATAGCCGTGACCCACAGAAATGATGAATATTCCAAATGTCCACTTCCCTCCAACAGCTGTCCCTTCATTCATCGCAGGCCCCTGTTCCAGAGGTCCACTTAAAAGACTCAACTCTCTCGCAATAAAAAGGCAGAAATTAAAAATAAAGGAAGGGGGTGGATGAATGGCAGTGAGGGAGGAAAAGGACAAAGGGTCACAACTGGCTTTATTCCATTTACATTCCACCACTGTGCTGAACATTAGTACAGCTCAGAGTCAACAATGCGAATGTAACTTTTTTCTTTTCTTTTTTTTTTTTACTCAAAGCAATGAGGGTGTAACTTCCACTAAATTTTGGAAATTTAAAAAGGGCAACAGGCAATGCCACTTCCCCTTCCCTTCTGTGAGATTTAGTTGCAATGGATTAAGCCTAATATCGACCATATGGCTGCAGTTAGAACGCTCATTGGAATGATGAGGAGGCTGAAATTAGGAGGATTTAGACTATTTAAAAGTGTCTCAATTTCCAAAGATTATAAAAAAATGTTTTTAATCTGCAGCGTGACTCTAATGTGAAGTCAATGGTAAGAGTGACCTGGGTCGGTTACTATTTCAGTTGACTCAGAGTTTATGTTAGACCTGTGGCAATGCAGACTAATTTGTTTAGTTGACACTGGATCTGGTCCGTATCCGTGAAGAACAGAAACACTAACAGAAAAGAAGCATTCCAACTGGCAAGGGTAACCACAGCCATCCCAAAGAGACTGACACTTATCCTGCCGTCAGAAATGACTTTGACAGCTCAGAATGACAGTATCAATGTTTTTTTTAATTTAGATTATTATCTGTAGATGACAGCAGCTGAGGAAACAATAGCCAAGTCATGAAAGGCTAAAATGAAACACAAAAAAGAGGGAGGTACGTAGAACAACACAGGTGACATACTCCATATGAATAATAAATACCTTTTGAGTTATTGAGTTTGTTTAACCAAAGCCAGTCATTTCTACTTTATAAAGCATGATAACCTAATAGCATTTGCATATCAATCACGGCCAATAAAACTGCCCTATTATATTTTTTCTGATTTTAATAAAGAAGTTAGCATTTTGCACTGAAGGAAGCATTATTTATCTCTCAATGTGATTGTCAGAAATTCCTAACTTGGAAAAACAACACTGAAAGTTGCAGCCAAAGAATGAGGAACGCTGTCTGTCTTAAGGCTTCTGCCAGGAAGAGTGACATCTAATTAGGCAAGAGAGGTCTATTCACTTTCTCAAGAGCTTACAGGTAAAGAGACAGAGGGAAAACAGTGTTTCAACAAGCACCAGGGAGAGAGAAACTCAAATATGTGTCAACACAGACTAAACACTTCTGACAGTTGCCCTCCAGGTAAGTTTAGGGTGAGAGTGAGGACAGAAAGGGTCAAGGACCAGGTGGCTGTGACTGAAACAAGACAAGCTCTTTCTTCAAGTCTCCATGGGGCTTGTTTGACAGGGAGGAGAGACGAAAAGAGATGGAAAGAGCGAAAGAAAGAAAAGGGTGAACCAGGCAGAGAAAATGGGAACATGACAGATAAAAAGAAAAAGAGAGAAGAGGTGGCAAGGTGACCAAACAAGCTCTGCGAGAGAGAATGAACTAGAACAATACCTTTGCTACTGCTGTCCTCCATTGTGTAGAGATAATCCATGTAGAAAGCACCGAAACGGTGCATGCCCGCTATCTCTGTATAGGTCTCCTGTCAAACAAAAGTAGAGCTGGGTAAATATCGCAGTAAGGGAGCAAACAAGCAGATAGCCTTAAAGAGTGGCAATGACTGGGGTCAAGGGAGATATGGTGATGGGGGTCAAATTAGAGATAAAGAGTTACTAAGCACTGATCCACTTAGCTGGATATTTAGAGGGTTTTTTGTTTATTTGTTTGTTTTAGGGAAGTCCGTAATATTACCTGTATTAAAAAGTGCTAACTTAGTCTGGTTTCTTTGACTGATTTTTTCGTGCAAAAAGCAGTACGTTCAGTCATAATAACGACGCTTAAATAAGGAATTGACCAGATACCAAGTCTATTATTTATTGAGTAAAAGGCTACTGATAAAAGAAATTGAAAGTTTCCTCATTCAGCTGGATACATGCCAAAGGAAATATATATCTTATCTACTTGATGATAAGACTTTTTCCTAACAAATCAAAGCTGTATGACTGTGATTATGGTTGATGTGTTCATTATGAAAATTGTGAAATGTTATTCATAATTTATTGTACAAGCTATTAATAGCACACAATGAACCCATAAGCAAAAAGTCTGCAGAACATAATGAATTATTCATAATAACAATGAGTTTGTAACTAAGTTACACAACAATTGATTTAATGTTTAAAAAAAACTATTAAAAAAATGAAAAAAAAAAACCACATAGGGCCTACAGTCCATGCAAAGAAGAACATAGTGGACACAGAAAGACATATACAGCCCACTGAGAAAAATCCCAGCTGGTCACATCAAGGCTTCACCTGAGTGACAAAGCTAACTACTAAAGCATTCTTACATAGCCATGCTATTTATTTTAGGTCATTATTTACAAATGAAAATGAGATATAGGATAAAAACATCCAATTTATCTAATTTTAACTACCTGGGAGTTAGTGTATCGGTCACGGCTCATCATCATTAGTCTGCAGGTCAAGAACAACTGACCTTGTCTTCTGCAGTATTTTTATATTTCTACACCACACTAAACCACTGATAAACAGTCAGAATGAGTGAGCAAGCAGGAAACGGAGAGAAAGAATTACACAGGCCCCCCTTACACATTTAACACCCCACCCCAAACTTGCCCACAGTTTCTCTAAACAGAGATTTCAGACTAGCCTTATCAGGCTGGCAGGTTAATGAGTAATATTTATTAGGAGGTCCCTAATAGCTCTTGCATTCTTATGGATCAAAGCCATGCTGGTTTCAAAACGACTAATGAATCAACATTGAAACCTCTGAGTTGTAGGCTTTATGCATGAAGAGATGGATGGCTGGATTTCCAAACAATTGCAGCATCGAGGGTCATGAATATTTCAAAGTAGAGTCAACACTTGAGCTGTAAAGGCTGATGAAGTGAGCTGAGAGCTATCAGAATGATGGCTTCAGCAGCACTACTTAGACAACCAAAAGATTCCTCTACTACACTAAATTAGTATTACTATTTTTTAATAGATCAATTAAACTTTTGTAGAAGAAACAAACAATATAAAAACATATAAATATTAAATATAGTTAAACTATACTCTATTTAAAGAGTAAAGTGTTTCTTTTTGGGTGCATGCTACAGGTGCTTCATCTAATTAAAACTGTGTAAATGACCAGCAAAGGTCAGAGAGCTTTGTTCCAGCCATATTGCATTTGGTTAAATACTTGATTGCAATGCTTGTTTTACTGTTTACTGTAAGTAAGGTAGATGTTTTCTGAGTATCGCAATGTGAAACACATCGTCTGCTACTGCATTTTGTCCATCTATCCCAGAAAAAGGCAGTAATTTCCGCTTTGGTTTTTTTTCTGTTTGGGGGGGGGGCTAATATTTTTGGGGTAAAATAGCACAGACTTCTGGTTATTGTGACCTTGTGATTAGCAGCATCCAAGATAAACTCAGCTCTGACTCCATTGTTCTCTGGGCTCCGATAGTCAAAAAGAGAGTTGGTGAGATACGTCATTCCTTTACTACTGAGACTGTCCCCACAGCTGAAGAACACTGCATCCTGTACACAAAATGACAAATTCAAAGACAAATGTGAATAGTAAAGAGGACACGTTTCAGGCTGAAGAAACAATACAATCCATACAACAAACAAAATTCAGAAAGCTCTTTTAAAAAAAAAGTTTATATACTCATCAAACACCTAAAAAGCAAAATCTGATCATTTATTTCATATTCATAAAAAAGGGAAAAAGGCTCAGTTGATCCCATTATTGATTTAATATAGCAAAAATGCAAATTATATATATTATAACATATTATATTATATTCCATTCTTCTTTTTTTTAAAGGGGGACCTTGAACTTTACTAAAAAACAAATTCATCACAAGATTTTAACCTCTTCCTGACACTGGAGGCTGCTGGGACATTGCTTGAGTGTTTGGGGCTATTTAAATTCTTTTAGTATTTCTCAAAGTTCCTATAATTTTAACTCTCAGTTAACATTAATGTGATCTTTTACAAATACTTTCTTCACCTCTTCACGGCGGCTCATGTTTTCTTCAAAATCTCGTACACCCATGATGCTTTTCAGGCAAAGTGCCCGACATCCCACAAAACCGATTTGGCAATCAAAGAAGGGCTCCCCCATCATGAGCACCTGAAATAAAACCCAAAGAAAGACTCAGCTCAGATTTAACACCAAGAAGAAAAAAAAA